GGCCGCCCCCGCAGCTGCCTGCAGCGTTGTCCTGGTCGGTGGCTTCTCCACAGTGACGATGATGATAGGACATGAGGAGGGGTCTCTGGGTGGCACCGGGGGAGGCTCAGGGTGGACACTGGGAGGAATTCCTACATGGAAGGACTAGGCAAGCACTGGAASAGGCCGCCGGGGAAGCGGCGGGGTCCCCGTCCCCGGCAGTGCTGAAGAAACGTGTAGGTGAGGTGCCTGGGGACGTGGTTTAGCAGGCAGGGCTTATGGCTGGGCCCAGCGATCTTCAAGGTCTTTTCCATTGGTAATGATGCTGTGATGCTTGGCTGTGTGTCACACAGATCTTGGGCTCAGCTGTGCAGGTTCCTTCAAGTCATCATCTTCCTGCTTATCTAGAAAAAACGATTTCCATGGAAGGCTTCTTCCTCTTGGCCCCCTGTTTGGAAGTCCCTAGGGCTTTGGCACGACTCACTCCCTGCACAGGCTGACTTTCAAAGCGGGAATACCGCCCGAGCCCTGCGTGTCCAGGGGAGCAGTGGTGCTTGAAGGTCCATCCCGGCCGCCGCTGACCCTGGGTGTTTGATCCGTGCRCGTGCCCGGTTTGCTGCCGCGTGCCGCGAAGCCCCAGCCCCGTGTGCTCTGTTGCAGAGGAGCTGTACGTCTCGGAGCAGGAGGGCAGCGACTGCACTGGCGATGGGACGCAGAAGAAGCCGTTCAAAACCGTCCTGAAGGTGGGTGCAGGAGACAGGGGTGCTGCCCGCTGGCAGTTCCCACGGCCCCYGCCGCGAGCCCCTGCCACAAGCAGCCGGTCTGCTCGGCCACGGCCTGGCTCTCCTTGCCTCGATGGGTTTGCTTGCTCGCCATGCCCTCCATTCTGTCCTTTTCTCCCCCTTTTTAGGCTCTGATGACAGCAGGAAAGGAACCGTTTCCCACTATCTATGTGGATTCCCAGAAAGAAAATGAGGTATTGCAGCGTTAGAGCTTCCATTTGAGTAGGAATTGCTTTAATGCTTCCTCTGTGTGAAAGGAAACAAATGTGATCTCTTATTTTCTGTTGTCTCCCTGGATTCATCCAGAGATGGAGCATTATTTCCAAGTCGCAGATGAAGAATGTCAAAAAACTGTGGCACAGGGAGCAAATGAAGAACGAGGCCAAGGAGAAGAAAGAGGTAGGTTGCAGCTAGTGCCAGGTGGAGGAGCACCGGCATGGAGCCTTTCCCTCCCARCTCCCACCCCCACAGGAAAACCTGCACTCTGGTCCCCTGGTGTGGTTCTTCTTTATAGGTAGATATTTGCCATTCGCCTGTATTTAGATAGGACAAGCAGATGGCTGAAACTGGATGAGCTTAGTGTGATTGCGGTGTGTTGCCTGTAGACTTCCCAGGAGGAATACACGGGGCTCCTGTGTGTGGTTTCCTGACCTGATGAGAGGCTTACACAGTGAGCTGGGCCCTACGGGCCATGTCAGAGCTTTGCGGGCGCCTCTTGTCTGCAGCCTGTGTTAGAGTCTCTGGGAGCTGGGAAGCATGAGAGCCTTGCAGAGCAACTGGCGATCGGAGCAATTGTTTAATAAAACTTTAACAACCAGGCAGAAGATCTCTTGAGAAGAGAGAAGAACCTAGAGGAAGCCAAGAAGATTGTTATCAAGAATGACCCTAATCTTCCAGAGCCAAAATGCGTGAGTAAGACGCAGTGTACTGATGCATGGCCTTAGTTGCAGCCTCTCCTCTCTGCAGACCTTGGTTCYGACCCTGCTTGGTGGCAGTGGCAGCTGTTGAAGGCTGCTGTCTTGGTGCTAACCAGAAATGTCATCTTGATTTTCTGGTTGCCTGGGTCTTGCCTGCCAGCTCATGGGCTTCATTGTTTTTTGGTTTTTCAATAATCACAGCAGTTGATTATTCCTGTGGTGGATAGTGAAAGAACTCTAGTAGTTAGAGAACATAAGAATTGCCCAAAATGTCTCAACAACTCCCATGGTTATTTCTACCGTAACAGGGCTGTATAGGCCTTAATTTAGCAAGTAATAGGTAGGTGTGCTGCTTCGTGGTGCTTTGTGACAGGCCCTGTGCCGGCCTTTTGCAGTGCTTCACAGCACCTCAAAGCAGTGCCAGGGCATCATCCCCAGGTTACCTGGTCATTTAGTGTGGTTTGGAGTTCTGGTAATACCTGAACTTCTGCTCCTCAGGGCTGGGCTGTTGCACGTTTGATTTCTCTCTTTGGCCAAATGCAAAATGGGTTTCTTGACTGAGYGAGGGTGTCATGGCTCCCGCTCCATAGCACAGTGTGAAGTCTGCAAGTGTCGTCCAAACATGCTGCTTTGATGGGACTGGATAAAATGCTCCTTCCCTCCTAAACAGCTGTTCTGTGTTGACAGCTGGGGTCATATTCTGAATGGAACTTTCCTYGAGGTGTGAGGAGGAGGTGTTTTGGGGAAGGAAGTGTCGTGTATACCTGCATTTTAAGTATTTATGTGGAAAACATCATCTAAATGCAGATTTCCCGTTCTCCAGTTGATTGCGTTTATTCCTTGCTGCGCAGGTGAAGATTAATGCTCTGGAGGCTTATAGAGGGCAAAGAGTGAAGATCTTTGGCTGGATTCACAGGCTGCGTAGGCAAGGTAAAGCACCACCTCTTGAGTGTTGCTGTATGTTGTTTATTACCTGTGTRATAAAAAGGAACAAAGTCAGTAGCTGTCAAAGTCTGGAAACTTGATATAAAGGCTGTTTACTTCCTCCAGAGGTTTTTAACCATCAGTTAGATGTCCCCATCAATGTACCAAACTGGCACCATCGAAATTCTGCATAATCTGTGAATATGTAGAAATGTCTTAGTCGTRGTGTATGAATGTGTGCAGGCTTTTTAGCCCAAAGCCTTTGGAATGTTTGATTTGAAGGCCAATCCTACAGAATATTTTGTAAAAGACTTATTTGTGTTTCATTTCTTAACAAATTGAAGAGCTAGCTAGCATCTGCTTTGATAAAATCAACAAATCAGTATCTTAGTTATATGAAATGACGTAACAAGTACAATGGGTAGTRCTTTCCAAAAGATCAATATCCTAGTTAGGAAGGTGGCATCAGCTGGGGAGTGGGAGGCTTACATAAAGCTTCCTAGTGTAGGGCCAGAAAACTCTAAGCTGCTTTTTGTATTCTCTTGGGATTAAAAATACATAAATTTGGGAGCTGTGACAAAGCTGGTGCTGGCTTCATTTGGTAGGCATGCTGGGGACGGCCAACAAAGCTGGTGCTGGCTTCATGCTTCATCTTTGTTCAGCTGTGCAGAATGCAGCTCTGCAAAGGGCTTCTGTAACTGAGCTGCTGCTTTGGTGTTTACCTGGAGCGTCTTCTGCTGGAGTTCCTAATATCATCACAGTCTTTCAGTGATAATCGTTAGCTGCGGTATGCAGCTTCTTGGGGTGGGTCTGTTCAATGGATCAGTGATTAAACTCAAGACTCTCTGTTTTTAACTAGGAAAAAATTTGATGTTCATTGTTTTGAGAGACGGCACAGGATTTCTGCAGTGTGTCCTTTCAGATGAACTGGTAAGCTGTGGTGATGTAATTTTGTTTATCTGTTTTGTCTCTAAATGAATAAATGAAGAGTTCATACCTACCTCTTTTTCTTTTATATGGACAACTGGAAGCCCTCTTAAACCTATTGATTAATTCCTAAATTTTGTTAACTGTACTGCCAGTACATTTTTTTTTTTTTGTAAACGTGAAAACTCCTTGGAAGTGATTGATTTAATCTTGTCTGTGATTCCAGTAGATTTCACAGGATCATTTTTAATTTCTCATTTTCCTAACGGTGTCTTTGTTTGGTTTTTCTCCATAGTGCCAGTGTTACAATGGGCTGCTGCTGTCCACGGAGAGCAGCGTTGCGGTGTACGGCGTGCTCAACCTCGTTCCCCAGGGCAAGCAGGTAGGGCCAGCCCGGACTCCACACTGGGCCCAGTTCGCTGGGAATTTGCTTAAAAAACAAATCAAAACAAACAGGAAAAAAAAAATGCCCAACCCTGAAACTGCTGCTGTCACCTGCAGTTCTGTGTGTGTGAGTTTGCATGAGACAGAGMGAACTAAGTGACTGTTCTGCTTTACCTTTTACCTGAAACAGTTTTCTGCTGATGCATCCTGTAGATATTTTATAGGATATATCAGTGTAAGGAGACATTACATTATGACATGGTTTTATTTTCTCTGGGAAAGATGATGAGTAAGTGTGGGATTTTTTGATGTTGTTGGTTTTGTTTGGTTTTGTTTTTTAATGAGATCAAGAGATGTGAGATTTGTTTTGTTTTTTAATGAGATCTCGAGATATGCTTATAGACTCCTCACCAGGGCGCTTATTTTAAGGATATTCTTTTGTCCACCGGCACAAGAGTATGAAAAAGGGATTCTGTTAACTTTGTAACACCTTTAGAATGGGGGACTCGGATTGGTGACTGGGCAGATGTGTTTTTAAGCCTCAAATTATGATGGTGCTTATGCTTCATACCTCATAGTTGAGATCTGCAAACTTACTGTTCAGAAAATTGAATCAGGAGTTAGGGCTAACGCCACTTTAGGTAGCTTTCTGTGAAGAATGACTCCTGAAAAGGTTTCAAATTGAAGGCAGCAGAGAAGCTTTCAGGAACCCTTGTTTGTGACAGACTCAATAGATGTCTCAACACGCAGGCCTTCGTCAGGTCATTTATGCAAAATTACTGTGAAGTTTCTGTCATAATAACTGACAGAGGTGACTAAGACAAAAGTAAATGTGCATCTGTGTTGCAAAAATTAACTTGTGATGCAGCAGCAAGAAAGCTGGATACAGATTTGTTCTGTTAAATCTCAGTAGTCTTTTTTTTTTTCAACACATGGATTTTTGGTAGCTAGTTGTAATGATTTTTGATTTTTGCTTTTTTTTCTGAAGGAGAATGCAAAGCAGTAATTTTGAGCTTTGCAGGAAGATGTACATTTAATCTGTTCTATAAGCTTACCCCTTCCTTCGGGCATCTGCTCAAAACTGTCATCAGCTAGAGAAGTGAGAATTTGTTTTCCTTTCTTGATCGAAAGATAGCAGGGCAATGCATCTGAACAAGAATGTGTCTGGGAGCATTGCTGCACTGTTTCAGACAGATCATTTGGTTGTCTTTTTAAGGCATGGGCTGTTGGCCGTCCCCAGCACGCCTACCGAATGAAACTGGGACGAGCTTCATTTTTCTAGTTCTCCCTGCCACTCAGATCTGTCCCYGTAAGCTCTACCCAAGGTTAGGGTGACAAGCTCAGCTCAACTGGAGTCTCTCGTTTATCACAGAATGGTTGAGGTTGGAAGGGACCTCCAGAGGTCCTACTCCAGCAGGGACACCATTTTTTCTTTATGTTTTCTTGTCTTGYCACAGCAGTATAGCAAGGATTTCAGATCTTGAAAACACCAGCTCTGTACATTGTTTACAGCGAGTCAAACATCTGTTGATTCAAATTTGTAAAAATGCATCTATACCTTGAAAAGAGTGGGAAGATGCTGGGGAGAATGTATTTGGGGGAACAGAAACCTGTTCTCCTGTGCCTCACACAGGGAGCTTCAGTTCTGTAGCCCAGGCAGCTGGAGAGGGCTCAGCGGTGGCAGGAGTCCCCTCTTGCCGTGTGCTGGGCCACAGGGTGAGGGAAGTGAGTCAGGGAGAGGCCTCCCGCCTCGCCGCGCTGGGACCCGCTGCCTGGTGCAGGGCGTTGCCTCCRGCTCTGCCGGGTGAGCTCCGAGCTGCCCGCGTGCGCACTCACCTGCTGCTTCCCCTCCTGTGAGCTAAGCAGCCCCTTTGACTTCTGCGGGAGTTTGCCCCCCAGGGTGGCTCTCAAGTAGTCCRAGGAGCCGAGGATTTCCAGTGCCATACTGCAGCTTTGAGTCGGCCTTGTCTTGTCGCACACGGCAGGAGTCTCGCTGTGTTTGTGGTCTGATACCCCTAGAGGGCTGCAGAGAGGTACTTTGTGCCCACAAAAACTACCCTAGAATGGATCTGCTTGTGGTGGTGTGGGAGCCCTCTGAAGGACACTTGGTCCAACACCTGCTTGAAGAAGAGCCAGYGTTAAGCCAGGATGTCCAGGGCCTTGTCCAAACAATTTAGTGAAAATCTCCAGGGGCGGAGACCATATGGTGCCTGTAGATGCATGCGCTAGAGTTTGTCCATTGCCAATGTGATTAATTTGTTCTTTATACCCCACTGAAACCACTTTACTACAGTTTGTGAGTGTTGTCTTTTTGCTGGATACACCAAGAAGAGTCTGGCTCGGTCTCCTTTGCAGCTACCCGTAAAGTAGCTGAAGCCCCTGCCCGCTTAGGATTCCTTCCTGCTGAAAGCGCCCAGGTTTCTGATACGTTGTACCTGAGTTTCTGATTTGTTCTGTTTATCCTCTCATTACCTGGCAGTTGTGCTCAATTCTTCAATTAAGGAAGATGCCTGGTGGGTTATGAAGGGCGCTTTTCAAGGGTGGTGGGACATAGCTGGTRTGACTCAGTTGTGAAGCAGGCACTTTCAAGTAGCTGCCTTTAGAAGGGCTTGAGCATCTTTGGTTGACATGGGCAGGCTTAGCATCTCTGTTAAGATGCCACATGGTGACATCCAGGTGACAAAAAGTGACCTACAGTTGTTGCCACTCTTCAAATTGGCAGGCGCCGGGCGGCCACGAGCTGAACTGCGACTACTGGGAGCTCATCGGCCTGGCCCCGGCCGGCGGGGCCGACAACCTGCTCAACGAGGATTCCGAGGTGGACGTGCAGCTCAACAACAGGCACATGATGATTCGGGGAGAGAACATGTCAAAAATCTTCAAGGTGCGCTCCGTGGCCGTGCAGGCCTTCAGGGATCACTTCTTTGCCAATGGATACTATGAAGTAAGTAAATTTTCCTTCTCAAATGACTTTTTTAGTCTCCTTTCTTCAGAKCTATCTTGATCTTGGAAGGACTTTACATAGACTCCCTGGTAGACCCAAAATGAACAAAAGAAAAAAAATGTTACTTGATTGTTTTTATAGACATAGCCTGAAATCTCCAAAGATATGTAGACCTTTCTGGGGCATATGAACAGTACAGCATGATTCAGAGAAACTTATCTACTCTTTTTGGTACATCACTGCTCTTGGGTGTTGTTGCTGTCAGTGTCCTTAATTCTGCACCGAAGTAGTGACAGTCCCGTTCTTCCACAGGTGACACCTCCGACTTTAGTCCAAACCCAGGTTGAAGGAGGCTCCACCCTGTTCAAGCTGGATTATTTTGGTGAAGAGGCATACTTGACACAATCATCCCAGCTCTACCTGGAGACCTGCATTCCGGCACTAGGAGATGTTTTCTGTATTGCTCAGTCGTACCGAGCTGAGCAGTCCAGGACACGCAGACACTTGGCAGAGTATGGAGAAAATGCACATTTGTTATATATATGTGTAAATGGAATTGTAAGGCAGGGAGGCAGCAGGGAGTTGGATGGTGGAGTKTACAGTGAGAAGACAGTAGTGGGAATAGGGAAGGACTGAGGAAAGGGACTTGGGGCAGCATCTTGTTTTGGTGAATGGCCAGCAGGTCCTAACATGTTGATATTTACTGAACAAAGACTTCGGCTAAATGTAGCTAGTATGTTTTTTTTAATAAGTTTTATCTATTTAGAAAATACATCTGGAAGAGTTTTCATTGACATTATGCTTACCACCTTATTTCCTTTACAATTTAGAAGCGAGAGAAAAGAAAAAGGGAATAAAAGAGGTTCCTTCKTTTTGAGGCTTTTTTCATAGCTGAAGATAACCTGCTTGTGCATGTGTTTGTGATGGTGTGACCCTGTGTTTCAGGTACACTCACATTGAAGCTGAATGCCCTTTCATAAGTTTTGAGGAGTTGCTGGACCGTCTGGAGAACCTGGTCTGTGATGTAGTGGACAGAATCCTCCAGTCACCTGCAGCAAGTCTCCTGCGCGACCTGAACCCGGTAGGGAACAGCCATGAATAGACTGGAAGACCTGATCTTGTGATCAGCGTGCCCATCCATGTGGGAAAACTGGGGCCTGTCAGTGAACTCTGCTTTAATTCTCTATCCACGTCCAGTGACATGGGGAGAGTGATGGTGCTGCAGGGCTGGTGGCTGCTCCCGGGAGAAAGTGACTCTGGTACGAGGAGTTCAGACCAGCTAGATGACCAGCCAGCTGCGTGCTGGGATTTATTGGAACGTGTGGAACCAGTGGAACAAACACTTGTCCCAGAGCTCATAATACAGACCTGCTGGCCCTTGCAGGTTGAGCACAAGGGAGCAGTGACACAACTTCAGTGTTTTACTTTCTGTTGCAGAAGCTGTAGCTCTAAAACTGTCCTTGGTGTCTCTGCAAAGAATGCTTGCAGTCTGTTAAAGCCACATTATCTCTGCTCTCAGAGGATATATAGATCTAGTTGTTCCCAGTTGTTTTGATTTATTTTCCTCATAAACCATGTTTTTACTGCTGTGTTCAGCTTTAAGTTTGGGCTACGATGGAGGCAGGAGGTAGGAAGTAGCACAGGCACGAGACATCACAAAGGGGCAGCTGTGGGAAGTGCTGAAACGGTCTGTGTGAAGTGAATTCCCCAAAGGAACCAGCCTGGAAGATATTTATTTTTCCTTCTCCTGCCATCTTTTCCAACGTCTGTTCTGTGATCCTCATTGGGTAGAGAGCTGTGTTTRGTTCTTGCTGCTCTGAGCTTGGCCTTTAGTTAACATGAGCTGSAGCCGTGTATGTGCTTGTCTGGAAGTGGAGTTGCTGGTCAATTAGAAAAACATCTTTTGTAAAGATAGGCTCCTAACTGGTTTCGTGTGTGTTGCTGTTTGCAGGGCTTCCAGCCCCCGAAGCGCCCTTTCCGCCGAATGAACTACGCGGATGCCATCGCRTGGTTAAAGGAGCACGACGTGAGGAAGGAAGATGGCACCCACTACGAGTTCGGGGAGGTAAGTCCCTCTGAGGGCAGAGCAGACCCAGTCCCCTGGTGCCAAGGGGGCGACAGGCAGTGCCTGGAGGAGCAGAGTGTTCCCGTGTGACGCCGGCCGCACGCAGTTAGGGTGGTGCTGGTGAGTGGAAGCCTGGTGCCCTGTAAGTCCCCATGGTTTTGCTGCCGGCCTCGGGCTGGGCCTGCCGGGGCGTGCAGGGATGTTGGGTGGCACTTGTGCTGGGCAGCTGCAGGCGGCATTTGGGTTTTCAAGTGGCGTCCTGGTATGCTGCCATCAAACTCTTCCTGCCCCTGTCAGTGCTGCATCCAGCAAATCAGTGTTTGCCTGGGTGGAAAACAAGTAACCAGCAGGTGCAGCTGCTTTTTTTAGGAAAGCTCAGTATTCAGAGTTAACTAGAGCCTAAGAAATGTATGTTGGTTACCGTTGGCTGACCAGGTAWACCTTTGGGGACAGGAGGAGTTTTTAATAAAACAAACAATGTTTGAGGAGCTGTGGTTGCCCTGCTGCTTTGTGTCTGTGTAACTGCAGCATTGTCCTTTCCGTGTCCCCAGTTTTAAGCACTGAAACTGCTGGGTTTATTAAAACGAAATTTCTGATCATAGACTTTGCTGGATGTTTCACAATTTATCAAATTTTGTTTGGGAAACTTCAAAATAGTCTTATGGCTGTGACTAATCAGTTGAGTTCATTAATAAGTAACTGTACATACATAACAAGGAAGCACTTAAATGCCAATTTTAAGGTTTGTAGAAAACAGTTTTGGGGATTTAGGCTTTTCAGTGTTTACTAGTCATTTGGAAGGTCTCCCTTCGGGTTATACTTTTCATAAGCTTTCTCTCTAAAACATTGGCATGATTATTTCTATAAAGTTTCTTGAATTCCTCTAAGATGCGTTTGACTAAGAATTTACGTGCAGTGGGTGAACGTGTGGGTGTGCATGGTTTGAAACCATCTCTTGTGTCTTTCCTGCCTGATGTGTTGTGGGACTTGAGGCTTTGTAGAATTCTTGATTTTAAATATTAACAGAATCTCCTTTAATTGTAGGATATTCCTGAGGCTCCCGAGCGATTAATGACAGACACCATCAACGAGCCCATCCTCTTGTGTCGATTTCCCGCAGAGATCAAGTCCTTCTACATGCAGCGCTGTCCTGAGGATTCCCGCCTTACGGAGTCTGTAAGTCAGTGTCTTATCTCATGCCACAGGCCCCTGAGCAGGAATGAGTAAAAAAATCCAGAAAAAAATCAGAAAAAAAAATCAGAAATTCTTCCAAACTTGATTTTGAGGGTCTCTTGGCATGGCTTGTTTGTACTGAAAGAAAGAAATGAAGCAGCTTTGAAGTGCTTGTAAATAACCTGAAGAAGGTACCCGTCTGCCTGTGGCTGTTTCAGACTGTTGTCTGAAAGCAGCTGTATGATGGCCAAGACGAGCAAGTGTTGCTCTTGGTGGTGCTGCCGCTCTCTCGTCTTGTAGTTCAGGGGTGCCAGGAGGTCTAGACAGTCCTTTGGGGAACCTGGTCAGGTTAGCGTAACCCGACCAGCAGGCTGGTGTGGTGGGAATTGCCTTCCCTTCTGCCCTTGGAGAGTTGAAACGACGTGGTGAAGTGTGATGGAAGGGAGCTCTTGCACGAGGCTCTTGTTCCTTTCGTGCACCTTCTGCAGACAGCTGGCTGGCGCTGGCTTCACCTCGTGCCGTGTGTTGCAGGTGGATGTGCTGATGCCCAACGTCGGTGAGATCGTTGGAGGCTCTATGCGCATCTGGGACAGCGAGGAGCTGGTGGAGGGCTACAAGAGAGAGGGCATCGATCCCACCCCCTACTACTGGTACACTGACCAGGTGTGTGAAGCTGCCCTGCCTGCCAGGGAACGTGGTGCCAGCGCTTTTAAAACTCCTTTTAAGGTGACGATGAACTCTCTTTAAGTCTAAATTGGAAACACATTTGCTGGCCACACGTAGGCGATCGCTTAGCCGTTTGCAGAACATGGYGGGTAGCAGCTCCATTGCATTGCACTTGCTCTGCTTGCTTACGGGTCACTGCATTAGAGGGGAGTGTGCTGCCCTGCACCTCCTGCCTGTCCTGCACGGCCCCTGGGAGCCCYGGGGCTTCAGGTGAGGACAGACAGGGCTCTTCAGCCTCTGCCAGTTGTAGCCGGTGTAACCAGGGGAGAAGAGGGCGAGGCTGAAAACAAGTCATTGTTCCCCTTGCTTTTCCTAGTCTTCCCCCTCAGAAACTGAGCACTTCTCACCTGGGAAGACCGTAATCCAATTTCTCTACCATTCATCCAGAAAATGTATTTTTTCCTGCTGATGTGACTTAGCTTGTTATTTAGGCAATAACTGCATGCTTTGATCTCCCTTCATTTCCCAGAGGAAATACGGTACCTGCCCGCATGGTGGCTACGGCCTGGGCCTGGAGCGCTTCCTGACGTGGATTCTGAACAGGCACCACATCCGGGACGTGTGCCTGTACCCGCGCTTCGTGCAGCGCTGCCGCCCGTAGCCGCCGCGGGACACCGAGCCGAGGGCTTGGGAAAGAACCACTCACTCCACCAGACTACRGCCAGCCTGAGAACAAGGCTTATCGCAACCTGCTGTTAATGCAATCACTAACTTAGCTGGGAGGGAACCCTTTTCAAAGGAAAATGCTATTCAGTAACTGGAAGAATTCTTAGGAAAAAAAAAAGTTAGGTGCATATGTGCTCTCAAATCACCATAAAACAAAGATCCCGATAAGCTGGCATTTTAAACAGAAGACGTGCTTTTCCATTTCGTTCTGGTGATTTATGAACAAAATATTTGGGGCATTTAATTTTTTTGACCTCTGTTTTCTCTTTTATGGTTTCTTGTTGGAGAAATCAGAGTATCAAGCTCTTTAAATTCCCAAATGCCTTTGAGACTGTTGCGACGATGTTATCATCTATACAGCTCAATGGAGTATGAGAATAAATATATTAGGTATTGCACTTTTTAGCTTCTACTGCTTTTAATGAAAGGTTTTTTTGAGTTGAGTCAGTAGCAAGGTACCTGCTACTGAACATAAAATTCCACTGCAAGAGAGCTGTTCTGCTTTTCTTCAGTTCAGATTATTTATTGAGGCTGAAGGTGAGGTACGCTGTGCTGGCAGAGCGGGACCAGGCACGCCACCCTGCTGAATTGCTGTTTGGAGAGAACTCTTGGCTTGTGAGCACCTTGTCCTGTGTGCTGCCTTCGAAGCTAAGGTTCTCTCCTCTGTTTCAAACAAGAAATGGCTGATTGAAGACCCAAAGAAACTGGGAACTGTGGAGCAGAGCTGGTTTCCAGCAGCTTCCCAGTGCTCTCTGTGAGCTGTAGTTCAAGCAGAGCTTTGCCATGGTGCTGGTGAATGCAGAGCCCTGTTTCCCAGCTGACTCGGGCTGCTCATTCGCCACTGCATCTTAGCAAACTCTCTGCTGTAATTAAGTTACCAAAAAGAATTAAATATTAAATCTGCTGAGTCATCTGAATGCTTCTTAGCCATAAAGAAACTTGGACCTTTCACTACGGAGGAGGGGAAAAAAAACAGTAGGTGCAYCGCTTGCTGCCTGCACCGGGATTTTACCTGGATTTTCCGTTCATAACTCATGTTGAGCTGTGATGTCCATGTTCATAGTAAAAGATTGGTTTTCTTCTCCATCTTGCATGTTACGTACACAAACTAATCTAAATCAGCAATCAATAAATTCATGGCAATGTGGAAAAGTCTGTGCGCAAGGCAATGATTTTTGACCTATGATGAAAGGCTTTTTGACTTGGTTTATATTTCCCATCTCTGGGCCTTTGCAGCAGACTTTGGGCAGTCTCCCTTAGGCAATAGCTACATGGGGAAAAATGTGAATTACAAAGTGCAGTAAATAAGTATTCAGGAAAAAACTGGACGCAGGGTTTTGCTGGGTTGTCACTTGCAAGTTTTAAAGTTAGTCTGCAGTGATGCAGAAGCGCGCGAGTGTTGCCCTGCACGGCTGCCCTGCAACGTGGTGTAGCTGGGGGGGCGGCGAGCGGTGGCCCTGCGCTGCCGGCAGCTCCCGGGGGCCGGGGGCGCAGCCGCGGGTTCAGGGCGCCTCTTCTCCCCACAGCAGCCGCTGTCGTTGGAGGGGTGGAAGTTGGGCCCGGAGATGCTCTTGAACACCCCGCGTCCCTGCCCTGCTGGGATTCCTCTTGGACATCCTTGAAAAGGAGGTGTGAGGAACAGCCGCTGGGAACCTGGATGAGATGCTGTAAGACATGGGCGTTGCAAGGATAGTTTTTTTTTTTTTTTCTTTTTTTTTCCTCCTGTTCTCTGTCTGAATTTAGAACTAAAGGTTTGAGTGTTTTAGTTCTCGCAAAGGTGTGGTCAGCTATAACTTTCCTTGGATATTGTTGCATATGTGTTAAGTACGTTACCTGGAGGAGGAARATAAAAATGAACAAGCTTGATTGCATTAGAACAAAGCAGCAGCCCTTCCCTACTCGCAGACTTACGCACTCGACAAACCCTGACAGCAGCGAGCCATAGAAAAAGTCGCCGTGCTCCAGCTGCTAAACGTGCTCCTGATAGTGATCTTGCCCTTGGCCTTCCTTTCTTTTTCACTGCTTTGTGCAGGTGTGCTCAAGAGGCTTCGGTAATTCACARTTTGAATAGATTTAAGAATTTATGGATACATAAGAAATTCTGCATCTGTGCAGCCTTCTGTCTGAAATTTTTGTTCAGATASCTCGAGTGAGGGGAAGGGGGAGCCCGGGAGGCGGCTGCTCCGGTTCCGCTGGAGGAGGCCCGAGGACGTGGGGTGCAGGTCCAGGCACAAGCTTGGCGATGCCCGCATCTAACAAAATTAGCCCCGAAACGGCCAGAAGTGCCTCGCGCTGCCGCGGGCCGCGGCCGCGCCGCTCCGTGCCCGGCACAGCCCGTCCTCCCGCGCTGCTCCTCGCCGCGTGTGCGGCGCGGGCTGCCGGGGGAAGCCGGGGCGCGGCGACGGTACAAGGCGGCGGAGCCCACGGACCGGGGAGCGCGCGGGGAGCCGCAGGGAGCTCGGGACCGCGACACCCCCCCGCACGCGTGGCCGTTAGAACCGTTTCCCTCTGCCCAGACACTTCCGCCACGCGGGACCGTGACACGCCCCCTCCCGGGGCTAACGGCACC